AACTTCTCCTTAAAGTGAAAAAATAAATTTATTCATTTCTTCTTATAGTTTAAGCATTAGGTGATCGATTTCTCCTTATATGTTTTACATTTCTCGTTGTGAGAGTAGAAATGGATTATAGATTTCTGTTGGAAAATTTTGTATTTCTGCTGGAGAAAATCCATTTCTACTAGAACTTCTCTTTAAAGTGAAAAAATAAATTTATTCATTTCTCCTTATAATGTAAGAATAAATTGATCGATTTCTCCTTGTGAGGGTAGAAATGGATTATGGATTTCTATTCAAAGATTTTGTATTTCTGCTAGAGAAAATCCATTTCTACTAGAATTTCTCCTTAAAGTGAAAAAATAAATTTATTCATTTCGCCTTATAATGTAAGAATAAGTTCATCGATTTCTCCTTGTGACGGTAGAAATCGAATATGGATTTCTGTTGAAAAATTTTGTATTTGTATGGAAAGCGTTTCTGCTTGACTTTGTGTGGGGTAAAGGATTTCTGCTGTAAGTGGAACAATTTCTCGATTTTGGGGGATATCGTCCAGCCCTCATCGAATTTTGGCTCACATCTGTACTCCCCTACAGAGAGTGGGTGTGGGTGTGGGTGTATAGAAAACTGATACGCACATTCACACCAACACCCCTGTATTTTCATAATCTATTAGGGGAATTTGAACATAATTAATTTGGAAACATCGGTCACTAATCATGACAAATGTTGGCCTCGTAAAGTTTTCAAGTATGTTACAAACTTCTTCTGTTTATTATGATAATCTTTAATATTTTTATTTAATTATCGTACTCATCCTGCTAATATAGCTTGTTTAACTGCAGCAAATATTCATCGTGTTTATCTTGCCAATAATCATACATTAGATTTTGGAGTAGAAGGACTTGAAGAAACATGCGAAACCTTAGATAAATCTGGTATATCATATGTTGGTGAGTTATTTGTTTTTTATTTGATGTTATTCTCATTTTGTATAATAAGGTGCGGGAAGAACACGTCAGCAGGCTCTTGGTCTAGTTTTTCTTGATGTTCCAATCAGTGACTCAGCAACTGTTGAAAAGGTTAAACCTGTACCTATGAATGCAAGTGCATTTCGTTCTTCTTCATCATTGACAATTGGTTTACTTTCTACATTAGATTCGTTCATTTCATCTTCTTGCTCGTTATGATCTTCCATTTCTCTATGCTCAACTAGCATCTCTCATTGCTGCTGCTTGTTCTAATTCTGATTTAGTTATTTTTTCAGTTCATTGGGGTCCAAATTATCAATAGGTACTGGATATGAAAATTCAAGAACTTGCTAGATGGATGATTAAGCAAGGTGTTGATCTTATACATGGACATTTGAGTCACCATGTACAAGATGTTGAAATTGTCGAACGTAGAGATCGAACTTGTGGTTCAATATTATATGGTTGTGATGATTTTTTTGATGATTATGCAATCGATCAACAGTACCGAAATGATCTTGGTGTGCTCTTTCAACTACATATTTCAGTATCATTTTTACCTTCAAAAGGCAACACATCAAAATTAATTCATCTTCATTCACTTTCTACTTATCCTACGAGATGTTCTAATTTTCAAGTTAATCGATTAACTTCGGAAGATGTCGATTGGACATGGACTATTGGTCAAAACAGCGAAATAATACTTGATATTTATAAATAATAATAATATTTGAACATAAAATACTTTCTCTTCTTTTTTATGTTTTATATAATATGTTTAGAAATGAAAAGATAAATATATAATTACTCAAGCTCTCAAAGAGACTAAAATCAAATGTGTTTTTAACAAGCATCTTAGATATAAAAATTCTTATCAATAAATCAATTAATTCAATCAAAATGTCTATCGACTTCACTTTTTTCTTGCTATATTAAATCGTTTTTTTAAAGTATTAAATAATGAGTTTATCTTTTAAAAAAATATGTATCAATACTTTGTTTTTTTCTCTTGATAAGAATTCTATTGACATTAGTTGCATTTTAATTTGGAACTACTACGTATTTCGCTGAAAAAAATACGAATAGTGATTGATTTTATTCGATTCAAACAGCTACTTATCGACCAATATTAGCACTTACATCGGTCGCCTATGAAATCAAAAATCAAATTTTATTTCGTTTAAAAAAAAAAGAATAATCAATTATCTCATATTTCTATTAAACAGAGGCATACCGAATGATGATGGAATAAAAGGATCGAAAGTTTATTTTGGATCAAGTAGGAAGTGACACAACTAGCTCTCCATACTCTCTAATAACCTTTCATTTTTTCAATTAACTCTTCCTCTCCCCCGTATAATAGAAGATCCTCCCATATTAAAAAATCCCCGAAGGATTTGATGCGAAATACATAATAGAAGACCAGAGTCTTCTATTCAAAATAACTTTTTCGTCTTTGATTTTCTAATTCCTCTTATCTTGAGTTCAATGCGTATTAAGTCAAAATCTTTCGCATTTGGAATTTAGCCATATTTTTCAGCTTTTAATTTATTCAAAGAAGCAATACGTAAAACTAATTCCATCCTACTAAAAAAATTTCAAAAAAGGCGGTGAATAAAGCTTCTATGATAGGATAAGGAAGACATCCGGAACATACTTTTAGTTATCATGCTAGAGGATCTTTTTCAGAAAAATATTCATCAGACGATCACGTTCCATTAACAGGGGTGGGGAGTGGGTTTGAGTCTCAGATGCTTAAGACAAGACTTGAAGTCACACCCACATCCACCTTTAATTTTCATTCTAAGAGTTGCCTTCTTATAAGTATTTTAAACAAAGGTCAGGTTTATTTACTTGTTTTCGGTGAACGAAAAATAAACAGCTGATGAAGATAGTCTTAACTTTTATACAATTTATTGTCTATGACCATTTACTCTCTGTCTTTGTAAATATTCGAATGCAGTTGAGAATTGATTCATCAGCTTTTGATCTTCTTTATTTAGATCTTTTTCTTGTTGAATATCCAAATATGGTCGAATTATGTTCATTTCTATATGATTCTTTAATAATTTTCCTGCATCACTATTTATCACATCTATTCCTCTAGTTTGACCTATTGGATTTACTAATTTATCAAGTGAATTGAAAAGAACAGTCTTAAGAATGTCTGCTTGCATGTTATTTGATTGCAATTACTGCCCTATGGTATTTTTCATTAAGTTCGAACCATTGGATTTCATAAGTGTTTCATATGAGATATTTTGTTGTCGTAACATGTCAAAACAATTTTGAACTACAAATTGATTTTCAAAAAATTTTATTTGATCTTGAAATTGTTTACACTGTTGAATACATGGTTCGACAATAGAACGAACACCTGAATTTAATCTATGTTTATTTGCTTCATAGATAGAAGATGGATCTGTTGCATGAAAGATTTCTGTAACAACTCGTACAGCATTATCTGTTGTTAAATGTCCACTTGAATTGGTCAAATCAATTGTTGTATGAATTAATTGATTAATATCTTTGTTTCGTTTAGTATATTCTTCTTCTATTGCTTGTGGAAATGCATTAGCTATTAATTGAATTACAGGTAGTGAGCCAATCTGTTTTTCAACTAATTTAAATGCACTTGATAATGGATTATTTTTATCAAAATTCGAAAGATCTACGCTGAAATTAAGTGCTCGACTTAAAATTTCTTTTTCTTTTCCTTTTAGTAATGCATTCTCACCATCAAATAATTGCAAAAAATTATTTACTATTTTTACATTCATTATTTGTTTGAAATCACCCGATATTAAAGCTGTAGCTGTATCAATATTTTTCACGGTTGTTTTGGCATATTTCAAACTATCTTCACTTACACCAGCTACTTGTAGTGCACCTAAGGCAGCATTTTTCAAAAAATCAAGATTAATTCCATTTGTAGCTAATTCATGGACAGTTTTGACACCAAAACCAATAATATTAATTGTTTGTGTTGACATAAGTGGTGTAACAAACCGATCTAGCATCCCGAGACCAAATAATTGTGTACCATAGGATACAATTTTATTCTTGAAATAATCAGACATACTAAAATCATCTGTAATCTTTGTAGCTGGAAAGAAAGAGAATTTTAAAAAAATGTAAGGGAATTAGAAGTAAGAACATAATAAGACTTTATTCATACTTACCGACAGCTGTAAAAACATCAACCAAACCTTGTCCGATTATAGATGTGCCAAATTTCACATGTCCATAAAAACACAATATAGCACTTCCAACCACTTGAAGATCATTCATAAACGACGTACACGACAAGGGAATTGAAAGAGTCGACAAAAGGGTGTGGGTGTTCTTTCGATACACATCACACCCACACCCTAAATGTGTTATTGTAGCATTTATCATTTTTATTTTTATTTTGTACTTATTGCGAAAACTATTAAGCAAGAATAAGGCTGATGATGAAAACCTAATAATAGTACACGCATACTGATTAACCTTTTGAGTCCTGAATTTTTTCTACCGAGCCTAGTCTGATGAAACCACCAGGAATGGTAGGGCTAGGTGTGCTGATGAAGTTCCGCCTATAGGACAGATTTTGGTAGTTCCGTATTTTTATCTAAGGAAGAATGCAAAGTTGGGAAAAATTCGAGAGTAAGCTCCAAAGATGGCTTTGCCATTTGGATTAGGAACAAGCTACAGACTTGGGAATTTCAGCATTAGATAGAGGACAGTTAGTCGATTCTAGAGCACTAATAAAAGTTAAAATTCTGTTTGAGCTTCATATAGATATTTCAGCTCAAAAAAACGTCAAAATTAGCATTTTCTGTAGGTTTTTTCACAAAAAAAAGAACACGGGAAAAAAACATCCGCTACAAAAAATGATCATCTCAACGAATGGCATCTATGGTAAAGTTTTCAGACTTCTCACATTTGTAATAGAGGAGCTAGATAAGGTTCGATATGGCTAGGAGGTCCCCCTTATCCTCCCCATTCGAACCTCTTCACAAAGTTTTCAGTTTTTTCGAACCTACAGCTTTGCTTACAGGTACGAGTCCTACAAGCCCTGAACGCTTCATTCCATTCCGATGAATTCGATGTAAACTCTCGTACACTCTCGATAGAAGTACCCTCCCCATAGAGCCAAAACTTCGCAAGGTACATTTTTCAATGTCATCCATATACTCTATTATCCAATTAATCTTGTACGAACCTCTGATAACTTCTAACATTTGGGGTGGGTGTGGGTGTGGGTGTGGGTGGGTGTGGATGTGGGTGGTGGTGGGTGGGTGTGGGTATCGGTATAGTTGTTGACTTAACTCACACCCACACCCATCCATCCAGCAGTGGACGGCAAATGGTTGATGAATGATGATGATGATGATGATGATGATGAAAATTCATAAGTAAAGAGGAGTCATTTATCTATTGGTGATTCAATCTGACACAATCCCTTTTACAGTTGGCACAGGTCGTAAAGAGGATATTCGATTATGAGAGTCAGTAGGACCGTTGTTACACAAGGTTTTGCCCCTGCAGCATCGTCGAATATTGAGCAACTAGAGTGTTTATAGTGTTATTCAATAGATCTTGCCGAGTTATGGCTGTTGGAACGAATGTTATATTCATATAATGATTTTGATAGAGAAAACAGGATTTGAAAAGTACTATTTTGAATTTTTCAATGATGTTTCACGACAAATTTTTCCAAAAGGTATAGATTATTTGGTACAAGTGTGTCCACGAATAGTTGCTTACAATATGCAAATCTATTGCTAATATTACTTATCTTTTTTTGTGTCGGTTTTTCGTAGAAAAAAATTGAAGTATCAATAATTTATTTTTAAATAGAACAATAAGATCAGTTCACAAAGTGTCTTGAGAATCAATTTCACGAAGACAAAAATGAAAAAATATATATGATATGATATAATTGTTTCTCGCACATGTGTTGATCATGAATTTATAGTTCTTTTCGTAAATCATTCGAATATAGTTGAAATGTATTTTAAACCAAATCGAATCGAACACAATTTATATGACAGAAATATAAAGTGCTGTTATTGATGCATGACC